CGGGTTGCCCAGAGAGGTAGTGGAGGCCCCATCCCCTGGAAACATTCAAGACCAGGTTGGACAGGGCTCTGAGCAACCTGATCTAGTTAGCAGTGTCCCTGCTCGCTGTGGGGGGGGTGGACTAGATGACCTCTAGGGGTCCCTTCCAACCCAAAACTTTCTATGATTCTATGATTCTATGAAAGGGTTAATACTTTATAATTGCCAGCAGTATGAGTGACTGAACTGAATAATCAAAAAGGCCCCTTTAGTTCTTCCTTTATCACAGAAGCCAGCTCTGAACAAAACAACTGTATTTTTGTCAAATTTATTTCTGTGGCTTTTAAAAATTTTCTGCAGAGAGAAAAACTCCAAGGCTAATACTATCTTAAGATTATCTTTTAAGAAGAACACAGAATAACAACTGCTTTTCAGTGGTAGAAGAAAAAGCCAGATGAAATAAAGATTCCTACGTACCCACCTGGCACATGAGCCCCTTGCTTTTGTTACGGCACTAGCCTGACTGCACATTTTAGAGGAATGTTTAAGACTGGCACTTTTTGGTTGTTGCTCAACGAATGATTAGTGTAACTGGTGACTTACCACCTTAACAATCTTTTTGACTTCAAGATGATTTTTTTTTTTTTTCTCCAAGGACACTGTCTTCTTTCAGTATTTTCTAATAAATACCTGAAAGTGTACCTGACAGGCAGCCAGATAAAGGGAGGCTGTCAAATTGCTTCTCCACAATAGGAAATGCATTTATATGAAACACTCCTACAGAGCGACTGTGTATGTTGCAGCAAAGGGTTAGAGGAAGATGACTCATCCTTTTGATTTATATCTACAGGGGTTCTGGCATCTTGCTGGACACTTGTTGCGGTTAAATAATTATTAAATTGTCAATATTCCAAGAAAAATAAAACATATACTCACTTTTACTGTGAAAATCATGCGAAATAGCTGTGAGCTGTTTGTGTTTGATTTTGTTGGATGGTACAGGGCACTGAAATCATCGACTGTCAGATGTAATATGACAACCAAATGCTTGAAGCCTAGAAGTATTTTGTCACTGTCATGCTGTGGATAATCTAAGACAGCAATCCTCAGGCACATCTGAGCAGCAGGACACACAGGATCGTATTCTCTTGCCTCAGTGGAAAATGCACTTCAATGCAACTTGGTGACAGTGCAATGACAAGATCCCAGGTGTTGAACGACCAGCAGCACTGTGAGGCACAGGCAGAGCACTGCCTCTACATTCCTCCAGACCCATCACCTAGCACTGTTTCTTGCCTGCCAAGAGCGGGAAAATATCATAAAAGTAGCTACTGATGCAGAGATGGGGAAAGTAGGTTAAAAGACACAAGCCCTCGCAGTAAGCAGGCTCAAGAGAGGTGAACCAACATGACTGTCTCTCAAACATGGTGATCTTCTCCTCTGCTGCCGACCCAGGCAGTGCTTCCCTGGCTGCTGTCCATTCCGCAGGAGGGCTCTGAGTTGTCCTTCAACTCACATCCTTTATCTGCAGCTTTTGCTCTGCCGGCCATCTGAAGGAGCTGTACGCACAGGCTAAAGCAAGTATTTGTGCTTTTTAAGCCTGACAGAAAGTCTGCTAGACCACATGTAGGAAAGGGAATGCATACAGAAAAAGAGAATTACTAAGAGACCGCGTGCTTAGTGATTCACTTTATTCAAGTCTATGCAAGGTCCAATTTTGTCCCTCAATTTTAAGACCTGGTCCAAAGTCCACTGAGTCCAGGAAAAGTCTCCAGGCTTTCATGTGTTTTAATAACTGAAGACTTCAATTAAACTATTAACTGCGTGTTTCTAAATAAAATGAATTTTATACGCTTTGTTCATGGGCTGATGAATAACAAAACCGATACAAGATTTGGCCGCAGCAAGTATGCAGGTCTATTTACAGATTTACAAAGGAAACCTTGCACAGCACCTGCCCCCACATAATTCTGGCTCCTGGCACTGCTTTAAGGAGCATTGAATTCCTTCCCACCCACACATCTTTACATAAGTAAAAGCTTAAACATCAGTTCAGACTAAACATTTTTGAATGCAGAATCCCTTGAGTGCCATAAAAAGAAACAGTGGTGTAAACGAAACTTTAATTTCCATCACGCTCACTAACTGATGTGCTAAAAACACAGATTTTAAAAGAGTGCATAATTTATTTAAAGTTACTGATTCCCACTTCCAGTACAGTCCTGTGTTCCAGCAGCACATTGTGTTTCCGCCAGAGGCTGAGACCACCACTTCATGCTATTCAGCAAGTGGAAAAAGTTTCTCTCCTGAACGGCTGACAGAAAAGACAAGTTGCCATACAACAGGACTTCCAACCTGCCATGTGAAGAAGGGCAACCTGGAGCAGAACTTCCCAGCCTCTGGCGAGCCCAGGGGACTTCTTCCACTTGACTAGGAAAGCACGGTCTGTGAAAAGGGGCTAGGAAAGGTAGCTCGGTGTCACTGAGCAACGTAATTACATACAGACTGGCATCATCAGCTACAAATTCTTAGGAGTCCATTGTTTAAGGATAGGGTGAAAATGACCATGCAGGAGCATTAATTAAAACAAAGATAATATGACTGTTTCTGACCATATCTAATAATAATGAGGCACTGACAAATAGGCATCTAACAGAAAAAGGTTTCCAGAAAACAGCTAATGATCAATTGTATTAGTTCAAACTGACTTTGGGTGAAGTTTCTGAACAGTCAGACCGGGGTTTGAGCTTGCCCCAGTGTTCAAAGGTCAAGAAGCTGACGGTTTTGTCCTTCCCTCCTGACTCCACCTGTTTTTTTGCAGGATGACAGCAGTCTGTCATCTTTTTCACAAATTACGATGCGCTACCACCTTAAAAAAGTACCACTCATAATCCGTATTTGGATAATGCAAGACAACGAGAGGCCTGGGACATTTCCTGGCTGATCTCAAAGTGGCACCGACGCCAGAAAGGGAGGTGAGAACCACCACTGCCTGACAGCAGCAACAGAACTGCAGAAAAACTGGCAAAAATCAGCCTCCGCTACTATGGAAAAACCAGCTCAGCTCGGTGACTTCGCCGAGATAAAAGCGTCCGCAGCGTTACAGGCAGCTCAGAGTGCAGGGCCATGTCCAAACTCCAGTTTGCCAGGCTCAACATGGGAAGACCATGCTCCAGACCAGCCAGCTCTAACTGTGCCAACTTCCATGCTAATTCCCACTGTATCTCACAGAAATATTTCTGTTACTCCAAAATCCAAACTGAACTACTGCAAAAAACAGTGTTGACCTCCTGGACCTAATTCATACTTCACACCATTTCACTGGCTGCAGCTGTACCAACTTTAAGGGGATTTACACATTAGTGCATGAGAAAGGAAAAGTAGGTCATTTGTCTTTAGAAAAACAACCTGAATCTTCATAGCCAATTTATTATACTGAACCTATACAAATATGAAAGAACGAGGTTCCCAATTGGTTTCAGTTTATGATGCTAGCACCTGAAGTCTGCATTTCAAAGGCATGTGCATTTTGCATAATATTATTGCCTCTCATCAACCCCTTCCCTTGTAACTTTTGCTACATGCATCTTGAATTAAAGAAAAATAATCATTTTCAGGCACTGTTAACCATGAAATAGGTTCTCCAGGTTTCACTGCATATTAATAAGAAAGATCATTTTGCATCTATTCAAATCTTGCATAACTATTTTATAGCATCCTTTGTAGTTGAATTTTGCTACAGTGTATATACCAACTCTGGATATGAATGTTTTTAGCATAAACATTCCCTTCCTATAATGATTCCAGCATATCTTATTACATTAGGTAGAACTAAAAGTAAAAAAAAAAAAATCTATAATTTTGTGCAGGTCACAAACCAAAAGCTGACAGCGCTTAGGGAGAAACCATGATTAAGGTATTCTACATAATACATGTTTGTTGGGGTTTTTCACTTTGTTCCGCAGGACATAGCATTATTCACCATCAAATAAAGGTTGTTGTGAAAGGCTGGACAAGAGTTTGATCTGATAAATGAGTAATTATGTTCATCAGGTGCTACTGACTTATACATCATGTAGAACTGGGCACAAATGCGGTACAGAGTAACACAGTAGAATGAAGTAGAACATCAGTCACCCAGTTGCTCTGCCCCCGTAAGCTGCATCTATAATTCCTGCTTCAGCCAGTAAACACAGGTCTCCATGGATTGCCCTTCTCACTAGGCACAAAATTTTCCACAAATGAATAAAAAGATGGGTAATTTATCAGCACTTAGGCTAAGACCACGTTGACCTTTCAACAAGGTAAACCATGACACTTCTCTAAAAAAAATTTTGAAAATGTTTTCTTCAAATCTACTGTGAAATCAGTTACAGAGGAGAATTAAAACCCATTTATAGTTTATTCTGTAACAAGACAGCTGCTCCCAACTGGAGGAATTGAATTACAGATCTCAAACAGTATTTTTGCTATAAACATCCCCGAGAACATACAATTCTACTTGTTCTGCAGGGGATTTTCTACCCAGAGACTGAGCACAGAAGGGCACTAAAGACTTTATAAAAAAAGGAAGTATCTTTCCTTCATTTTAAAACTCTTTGCTTTCATTTTTCCGCTGTCAAGAGGGAGTCTTCTCATAAGACTTGCTCCAGGGAAAGCTGATCCTTAAAATCCTTGAAAAGTGGCTGGGACCTGTGGGCTTGGCCAGGCGAACCTCCAACACATGGCAGATCAGCCTTTGAAGTTAAGTTGCTGAGGCTTTTGCCACGTGAATTTTGAAAATCACTAAAGACTGATTCCACATCCTTTGCAGGTGACCTGTTCTGAACTTACATCACCACAGGGAATTCTTTGCTTTCTCTTCTGCAAGTTGAACCCAATTCCCTCAACCAGAGCAGAGCTGAGAGGAATAATCATCTCCCTGGACCTGCAGGCTCCTTTCCCTGGTCAACATTTCTGTTAGTGCTTATCACAAATACATTTTCTCTTATATATATTTATATATTTAAATTAACACTCACCAGCCACTGCTGAGGTATTTCTGGCAGAGGCATTTGAGGAGGCGCTGGCAAACTATTGGCAACTTCTTGCTTCTGTACATGTTCTTTTATTTCAAAACCTGTGGAAAAGCAACAGACACCACTTAACACTTTGGTGGATGCACATGGGATGCTTTTTTCACACATGGGCACCACGTCTGACTGTCGCACACTGAAATCTGGCACGCAGTGCTGCTCGCAACCTAGCTCCCAAGAACAGTTACCGAGGCAGGACTGGAAGAATGCTGGGAATTCAGGAATTTAATCAAGCAGAACAAACACATACTTACTTTATATGATAATGACATATATGCTATTTGGATCAACATATACCAGACACAGAAAAAATTTTCAGGAAATCATTCTGAACTACCTATCCATCTGGAACGGAAAGACTTGAACAGCTAAAATTCAAACACGCTGCCAGGCGTCTACCATACAGACAAAACCATTTATGGGGGGAAGATACCACAGCTGTGAATGCAACATTGGCACCGAACAGTGAATAAAACACGGGCAGCCTGTGGGCAGTATGTGGCTGGCTGCCTTTTACCAGCAGAGATGAATAACAGTTGTTCCCATGGCACATTTTGGATGGGCAAGGCCATCATGCAGAAATGAGTCCAAAACCACCTTTCATACCAAAAGAGTGGGAAGAGGTCAGAAGAAGAGGCCCTGCCACTCTCCCATCCCTGCAGCAGTGGTGACAGCTATTCAGCCAAGCTCACAGCACCCATGTTCCCCAGGCTCCCAGCTGCCCCCACCGCCTCTGACCAAGGAGCCGTGGTGTGAAGTCCTGGGAGATGCAGGATGCTACAACCCCAACCTGGAGCAGGCTGCTGCTGGGGATCATTGCCCTAACCAGCACACCATTAACAGAACTGCACACTGAGCATGTTTTCCCACCGTTTCCTTCTTCCTCCCATTTTTTTAAGCAATCCCACAATTTCCCAGGTGAATTTGAAAAGGGAAAAGGAACCAAACATAAAAGCTGCTTTGAGGGTCCTTTGTATCACTGCTGCATTTCCTTCCCACGAAAAAAGAGGACTGACCCACTCGTTCTGAGTTTTTGGCACAATAATTTAAATCCCAGTTGAACTTGCTTCATAGGAACATGATATTGTTTATTTTTCTAAATATCAAAAGGGAGGTTAGGGTGCATCTCCTCAATGTTCTGGCAAAAATTCAGTCAATGGATTGTACCCTGCTTACCCCTAAAGTGAATTTAGCTCCTAGTGTTTAGTTTAGCTTTTAAAATACATATTTACATAGTCAAAAGGATGTCTTTTGGTCAAGATCATATAATTCTCAAAAATGTAATCAATGATGAAATGTTTCTTGTCATAATAACCCAGTCCCACTGGCTGTGAAGTCATGGATTGAAAACAACACTGATAAAATAAACTGTCTTTAAGGGCCACAGATTCTTCTTTCTTCCTACAAATCAGGAGGGGGATTATTCTTGGGAAACGTTCCTTTTTTTTTTTTTCAGTATAACTTTCACTTGTTCCTCTTTGTGTAGGATGAATCCATACTATGACTGCTATCCACATCCAAGTCTCCCATGCTTGCCATAACAACCAAAAGTCAAATATGAGGGGCTTTTTATGGAAAAAAAAAGTATTCCAAGTGAACTCTACTGACTCTATAAAACTAGATTTTCCCCAGTCTTAAACTATGTGTGTTTAAGCAAGAACCTGCTCTAATTTCTTTTCTTCTACTAAATTACACAGCAAAGTCAGCATTATAGGTTACGGCACCAGATCCCTTTAAGGAAAACAGGCAATCATTACAGTCATATTAAATGACTAAATCCACCATTAGCTCTTACTCCAAAATAAACTGTTTGTGTCTTTGTTTTTTAGAAGAAAAGTTGAGTTTCAGAAGGAAAAGCCAAGTGTTTTGTTCATACCTACAATCCATTGGGCATGCCAAGGCTCAGGAAGAAAACCAAAGTTTATAGTTTTGCCAGCTATTCAGAGTAACCACTGATTTGTACATGAGGCAGGTCGAGGCCAGGCAGCTATGACCTGAAGAATACATCTGCCTGGCCCAGTTCTCTCTGCTTGATAGATGTGTAATGAGGAAAACAGTGTGCATTTGGGAGATGTAGCAAAACAAGGCAAAAGATTTCTAAAGAATTCCCCAAGTAAGAACTTACTGAGTTTAAAGTGTTTTACTAAAAGCCAACAAGCCCATTACAATAATTTCCACACCTTTACAAACATCATTGTCCATTTCCAGATGTTCTAAAGAACCCAGCCAGTTCCCAGTTGCACAGATCCTTCATTACTGTTCCCCATTGATCTTAAATAGTTTTCTCCGGCAATCGAAATATCCTGTTGGATTCACACAGTTGATTTTCACAAATGCATACAAAGAGTTTGAACTCAGCGTAGTCCTCAGGCCTCTTAAACCATGCCAGCGACCCAAGAGCTCTCATGGAGTTATGTGGGTGGAGTAAAACAACATTTTGAAAAACAGACTCTGAATGACAGTTCAGCTTAGTTACAGAGCACTGTGGGTTTACGCATCTTTTATTGCTTATGATTTTAATGAAGAGATGAATAGTTTCAAAGGGATGGGAGTCCTGAATGTTCTAACAGATAAAAAAAGCAGCAGGGTCAGTTCCAGTGAAGTCCGTGACTCCCCGGGCAGTTCCACGCACCCCTGGAGCCAGCACGGGATGGCTGAGCTCCCAAGGAGGAGCAGAGCTCCTCTCCTCCCCTGCCTTGCTCCCGGCCCCGCATCAACCCCTGCCTTCTGCCAGCGCAAGCCTGTGTGTGGCCTCAGGTTGAACCAGACCAGTGAAGTGACGCTGGTTAGGACTAAACCAGCAAAATAAAGCAAATAATGCTTGTGCTAGCAGAAAGGGAGCTGCAGTACATCATCAGCAAGAATGAGTAGCCTGGGGAGAGAAACAGGATGCTTTTTTTAGAGGCTGTGCTGGCTTAAACTCTATTTAAACTGCAGTTCCATAAAGTAGACTTTATAGACTTATAAAGCATAGTTCTATGACCTCTTGCTTAACTGAACTATGGGATTTCCTTGAATTAATTCTTGTTTGAACTACAGCGTATCATTTAGCAAAATATTCTATCTTGATAAAATTCCAGCAATGGCATGCAGACCTTAGAAAATTCTTACATCAGTTCATAGCTTCAATGCTCAAAACATGTGCTTTATTTCCACTTTGAAACAAACATTCTGCCATTGCACATTGCTTTTTGTTGTGTAAGTCTAAGAGCTCCTTCTCAGTCATTCCTCTCCTACATCAAGTTTAATTATGATACTTCATTTTGGATAATCTGAAGGCATATTTCTGGATATTTTAATCACTTTTATGACTTTTCTTTGAAATGTCTAAATTTTATCTCCTTGAATGTACGTACTAGATGTGGGTATAATGTTCCAGTAACAACTGCACTGAACCAAGTTCCACCACTCAATATATGGATCTCCTATGGATCTTGTTAATGGATGGATGTTGTAATAGGATGTAATGGATTTTGTCATAGATCCTGTAATAGGCTTTAAAACCTAAACAGTAGGTGTGAAATGTAGATGGCTGTGGTCCTTGAGTCTTTTTATCCTTGGCCACATCTATAATCATCAATTAAACACATCTGGGAAGGTGCTCTGGTACGGAGAAATTCATACCCATATGGTTAAATTCTCTCACCCCTCAAAACCAGGGTGGAGGGTGATGATTTTGACTTGTCAGTTGGGAACAGACCTTTGCCCGTACCAACTCCCAAATCATGCCTAGGAACTGATGGAGGAGACAAGTCAGCTCAGGGCAAACCCACGCCAAGTAATTTTAACAGTGTAAATAACTGAGTTCCAGGGTCCAGAAATGTACCCAGCACTGTTGAATTTAGTAGTAGAGCTGTAGCTTTTGTGTCTGGAAACCATCCACAGTCCAGAAGAAAAGGATACGACAACACTTCCCTGTGTTTGCGAAGCTGGCAACAGAATGTTGTCCGACTTCTTGAGGAAGTCAAATGTTTTTCTTAATAAATCTAGTTGAAAATTTTACAAGAAGAACATGCAGTGTCAGATCAACATTGTTGAGGCTATGCTGAACTCCTGTTTCTAAACATATCAAATTGCAGGTTCTCACCTAAAGATTTTGGTTTGGGGGAGTTTGGTGTATTTTGATTGGCTTTTGGAGCATGAAGGCTCCTTTCACAATATGTGAAATTGGTACCTGCCTCCTTCTTTCAGTAGTGAAGTAAAAATATAGGTCTTAATAGGATGGGTCTTTAAGAATGTCAAAATGGAAAGGAGGACAATCATTATTTTCAAGTTGATCTCCTTGGACTTGAATCCTGTGGCAAAAATGGTTTCTTTACTTAAAGGGGGAAACACTGCATCAAACAAGACCATATATTTTTAGTACCGGAGAAGAAAGAAATAATGAGAAATGCAACTGCTCTCAATGTGGTATTTTTCTTCAACACACTCTGGTATTTTTCAAAAATCTAAACACTGATGGTTTACACTGACAGTATTTCTGTCAAACGTAGGAGAGATAGAGGTCTTACAGCCCCAATGCCACTTCATACAGAAAGGTGCTGTAATGAAATATATGAGTACTGTTAAAAAAATATAGTGAGGAATATTCTTCGCATAAGCTCTGTGGAAACGTTGCTGCACACACAGAATCATTTATATTATTCAGTTCGATAATCTTGATGGAGACGAAAGTGATTGTACAATCAAAATGGTTTTAGATAGGAAGAAAAGGGGAAAATGAGTATTCGTCTAATTACAAAACACAAATCAAACATGCTGACAGCCATTTCCTAGCTCTGACCTGGCACTCCTGTATTAGCCATGCACCAACTGAATGCCAAGCCTTTGGATGGACTTGGGTCGTTTGACAGAGATGCAGCATGCAGCACCCACGCATCCATAAAATGGTGCTGTGGCCAGCACTCCCTGACACAGTATTACTTTTCCATCAAAACTCATAAATACCTTTGCTGCCACAAATAAAATGAAGTAACCACTATATCAGGAGAAGTGAAAACATTCTATCTATCTAGCACGTAATCTTGTGGCTGGATTCCCCCATGTGCACCCAAGATACTTCCAGTATGCCTTTTGCTGTATTTTATTGCTGAATATGAAAGCAAGCATTCAGGAAAGCTACATTTTGGCTTCACCCTGTCTCTCTGCCTTGCTTTAATTCAGGGCTTGTCTTTAGCCCTTAAAACTATTTCACTAAGCACAGACTTATTCTGTGCATTCTGCAAGTGAGAAAACCCACCGCTGACACTGACCTTTTGACGACTGTATCCTCAGGAGAATGTTAGTTATTACTGCCTTCTTCTCCCTGACAGTGGAAGTTAGATATTCATGGTCCAGAAGTTCAAGAAACAAGCGCAGCTCAACTATTAACTCTTCCATGGCTGAAAGACAAAAAAAAGATAATGACTTTTTCTAAAAAGTCCCATTAGAAAAACCACAGAGTTAATTCTCATTTCTTCACATTCTTAAGTTATTTTCTAGCATTTCTTAAACATGTATGGTCCTCTTTGCTGGAAACAGACTGCTCATGAGTAAAACCAAAAGAATAGTCCACTAGTGTGGACTACTGGCATTTGTAGCAGTTATCTCAAAATTGAGGCAGAAAAGACAATTCTTCTCACATACCAATTGATATTTTCATAAACCTTTAGGGAAAGTCTCTCTTTCCCATATCTTATTTCTTCTGTTTGCTGTGCGGAAAAAAGAGCAGGTATTGTGTTTTTACAGTGATTCGTGTTTTGTATAACTTCCAAAGACAAGCTCCTAACCCATCGCATGATTTCTTATTACTCCCCAGATTCCTGATGATGCACTTCATATTTCATCGTTTTTCTACTATTCCAGATCTCAAGGCTTTCCAATTCCTTCTACAAAGATGACATTCCTTCTCTGTATTCTCAATGTTTCTCAATGTTTTTATCAACAAACTTTACAAGCCCATGTCTACTTTATTTCCTTTTAAATTACCTCTAAATTCTTGCATTGTCTTAATAACTGCAGTAGCTCAGAACATACATTTTTTTGTTACAGCCTAATCATATGATACCTATTCAGTAGGGTTATGAGAAGCCCGTGGTATTGAAGCTCATTTTCATGCTTCAGTTCTCTCATAACTCTGAGATCCTCTGGTCCCTTCGCTTAAGTGGTCTTACTATTACTAGTTTAAGTTTCATCTTGGATAGAATAGTTCACATTCCCATTCCTTCCATAGCTATCTGATGAGATTATCCTTATTAAAAGACGAGGAGAAATATCCATTTCATTTCAGGGCCGCACCTAGGATTCATCTCAGTGCTATCTTCATTCCAAAATGCCTCTACTTAAATTCTTCTCTACTTATTCACATTTGTTTTTACAGTTTTTTCAAGGCCTAACAGGGCGACTGTTGCTAAGCCTCTTCAGATCTCTAAAAAGTACATTGTTTGCTGCTTGCCGCCTTACGAGCTCTTCCCTACTCCTAAAACCTTTTCCGATATGGTTGTTTACCCAAGTGAAACTGGAATCCTTTCTTCCATTTCTGAGAACGTGTCTGGATGTTTAAACAAGCCTTGGTCTAGATGCATTTGTTTTATCTGACACTTGAGCACAGCACCATGCAGGGAAACCCGCAGATGCCAGCTACAGCCCTACAAGGGGCTGCTGGCCTCTTCTTGTCTCCAGTGAATGTGGATTTTCCCATTTATTTGCAGACTGTACCTGCCAGCACGCTCTGGCTACCCTGGCAAGCAGCTGTCTAGAAATCCATCAGAAATCCAAAGTATTCCACAAAAACCATATTGCTTATGGTTTATGTTATGGAACAACAGACATGCATACAGCTTTCTGAAGCAAAAAGGTATAGGTTCAGATTTGCAATGCGGTAAGTAATCACAAGAGTCAAGGAGGGACAAAGAAAGAAGACCTATGACCTAAAAAAGTAAAACACAACCCAAATAATCAGCCCTTAGTTATTTTTTAAATGACACACTTTAGAATATATGTATTCCGTTAAAAGTACAGTGGTCTCTTGCTTTTAAGTATTCTTTGAGTATAACCTATATTACTACTGTTGTTATGAGCTTTAATTATAGAATATACAAATCTTTTAATATTTACTTTATTATAATACATGCATTTCAAAAACCATCATTACCATAGAATCTATGCCGTCATTGTGAAATCTAATGAGTATACAGTACGAGAAATGTCTATTTTTCAAGCACTTCTTCTACAGCCATATAAATTACTGTCAGTAATTGCATATATTACTGCACTAAAATTTCTTTGCAATGACATGTTTTCTGGACTCTTTTAGGCAAGGGACTGTAAATAAGCTGAAAGGGAGCGCTCTCTTCTTCTCTTCACTAGGGAATACCCTGTGCCACAGTAATCCCATTTTTTTGCCGAGAACCTTCACTTCTGGGAGGGAAGAGAGAAAAAAGGAGGAAAGCAACAGCTACCATGGATGTGCACAGGGCGCATAACTGTTTTCAGTTATTAAAAATGATAAGACCCTTGTATTCAGGAGCTTACAATCTAATGTAAACAGAAAGATTGCAAAATGAGAAATGAAAACCGACCAAGAAGGAGTTATGAGGCAAAGAGACAGGGAAGCAAGAGGAGATAGGAAAACGCTGCTGGAGAGACTCATGGGAGCTGGCATCAGCCCAAACCTCTCCCGAGGCCTCTTCACATAAACATGTGGCCTCCTCCTCCCCCTCTTCTTCTTCTTCCTCCTCCTCCACCTCCTCTTCCTCCTCCTCCATGCCTTTGGAGGAGATCTGCATTTCAGTCACTGGTGACCACAGCCCCTTGACCTACAATGACCAAGCCGCCAATGTTACTGGAAGCAGTTCAACTGTACCCAGCACAGGATTTTTAAAAAAAGTCTTGGTTAGGACCGACAGAGGATGACAAGATGAAGCTCACACCAGTGAGACAATGCTTAAAAAATCTTGAAACCACTGCCTTAGTAACACATTTACCGTCACTGCATTTGGCTTGGTGTCCAGCACTGTGGTTCGAAAATCTAATAGTGGATTATAAAGGAACACAGAGCCTGAGAAGACTTGTTCTTCCTGCCTTTGTAAGCTTACAAGTAGATGACACTGACTTCAAGCAAGCAGTCATAAAAGCTAGTTTCTAATGTTAGTACAACACAATAAAATCATTAGCAGCTGTTAGGCATAAAGACATTGCTTCTCTTCTTTTTCTACCAGAATTAAACTATTTTCTTTTGTTAATAGCACCACAAACATCAAAGTGCGAAGGAAGTAAGTCCCAAATTTCACTTATTATATCTGCAATGATGTCAAACATCCAAAAAGAAAGAAAGCAAACACTGTGCTTTCTATTTTAATACTTTTGCTGCTTAAGCAGAGAACAGAAATACTGCCATGGAGTGCATTTAAAGTATTAAAAATAAGGAACTGAAACTCCTTTTTCTAAGATGGCAACAAATAAACTTGTGTGTACTCAGGAAAAAACAAGTTTGCCTGTTGTCAATCCTTGGCGTATTTTCTGGATTGAAGAATCTTCTTTTCTCCTTCCTAGAAAAGTAGTGATGTGCTCACAAAAAGTAATGGAACTGAATAATAGAAAATCCACATAATGCATATTTTCAGTAAGCAATCATTACTTCTGAAATGGAGAATAAAAATGAGAGGGTGATGCAAGTCCCAAAGAAAAACATACTCCTCCAGTGAGAGATTACCCTTGGAAATCTGACATCACCACAAAATAAGACAAATAATCAGAAGGCTTTCAAAAAGGGGCCAATTTATTTGACAGTTTTGGCTGTATTCTCATTGCCAAAGGAATTACTCGTAAGTGGCAGGTGGTGAAAGGCAGGGTGGGGCCTAGGGATGGTAATCACAACAGTAAGCAGATTTTAGCTCGACTGAGAAGCAAAATCGCATTCCATATTAAATGATGAGAGGCCCATTTGATGCTCAATAGGAATTATAGACCTCTAATGGGCTGCTGCAATTGCCATGCACAAATAAAAAAACAATGATACATCCAGAAGGGTTTCCAAGACTGGCTCTGAAGGGCTTTAAAGTTTTTCAAATGACAGCACATAAAAACGATATACACAAGCCAGCAACAGAATACACCAAGGTAAAAATAATCAGTAAAAGGCAATTACATCACACTGTAGTTTTTATTCCAAACCAGAACTAAAACCAACTGGGACTGAAAGAACATGATGATGCAATTATCCCAAATCTACATTTATGGGTACTAGGTCTATAACCATTTTTTTTAAGAATACAAAGTTTAACCTTCCAAATGATAAAAAAAAAATGTAGGAGCAGTGCCATATCACACACGTGATTTCAAGGTTGCTTAAAGCAGAAGAAACACAAGGATGAGCTCATTAAAAGAATGTTCAAATGGTTTTTTTGGTCACTCACAGCAATTACAGTATCTGTTAACCTTGACAAACCACAAATGACCTGAAAGTGTTTTCCAGTTGACTAATATCTGCTGAAGAACTTTTAAAGAAAAAGACAGACAAATCCAGGAAGGATGACAAGAAGTATTTTCATTAATTATTGTCTTGTCCACATAATACAAACCCCACACAAAGTAAATGCTCTTCCATGCTTGCACGTCTATTATAAATGAATGTATACAAATACGATAGTATACAAATCTGTCATAGAAATATGAATCAAAATTGAGCTTCAAAGTTTTAGAAGATCCTCTTGACCAGTTCCTTGCACATTGCTGCAACAAATTTTTCTGGGCTTAAATCTTCCGTTCTCCATTTAGTTTCTCATTTACAGTTAAAGGCCAGAACAGACCATGTCAATGAGACCCACTAGAAGAAATAATCTAATCTGACTTTCTGTAAAACATGGGCCAGAGACTTTCATCTAGCTACTCCTCTGTTAGTGGAGAGACTTGTATTTACCTAAAGCACATCTTCCAGGAAAGCAAAAAATCTATGTCAGCATTCTGAGCCCTGCTTTCCCTGGGGAGCGGGGCAATCCCATTTAACTTCCTTAACCAAATTTGATTGGATTTACGGATAAAATTGATGCCAACCTTCAAGCTATATATAAAAATCAGGTATTGATAATAGGTATGCTTCAATCCAACTGCAACCCAATACTAGCTTGTACACACACATGGACGTGCACACACACACAAGCGCGATATTTGGTAACCACTAAGAGGTTTTAAAAGTGGATGTCTCAGCCTTAACCTTGCCTTTATGGTCGCTTATTGCAAGGCTATACTAAATGAAATACATACCTAATCCTATAATAGTATTTATTCTCCGAAAATGCTGCAGTTTTGGCCTACATAAAAAAGATGTTCTCCAGCTCATACACCGCATGGGCCAATTTCAATGCAGCTATGTTCTCACCACTTAGACATTTAAGCCTCCATATTC